ATACAACCTTGCTTGCTGAAAGTGAAGAGGACTTGAAACATTTACTGATGAAGATCAAAGAGCACAGACTTCAGTATGGATTGCATCTCAATGTCAGGAAAACAAAAATCCTCACCACTGGACCACTAAACAACATTCTTATCAATGGAGAAAAGATTGAAGTTCTCAAGGACTTCATTCTTCTTGGATCAACTATCAACATTCGCAGAAGGAGCAGTCAAGAGATCAGACAACATATTGCATTAGGCATATCTGCTGTACAGGAACTTCTTAAAGTGTTCAAGAGCAAAGATGTCAGCTTGAAGACTAAGGTGTGCCTGACCCAAGCCATAGTATTTTCAATAACCTCATATGCATGTGAAAGCTGGACAGTGAATAAGGAAGATCATAGAAGAACTGATTTCTTTAATTGTGGTGTTGGAGGAGAATACTAAAAGTGCCATGGACTGCCAAAAAAACCAGTAGGTCTGTTTTGGAAGAAGTGCAACCAGAGTTCTCCTTGGAGGCCAAGATGGCTAAACTTCGTATCTCATATTTTGGACATATTGTCAGGAGGGAACAGTTGCTGGAAAAGGATATCATGCTTGGTAAGATGGAGGGTTGGAGAAAAAGAGGAAGGCCCTCAACAAGATGGATCAGTCAGGTGGCATCATTGATGGAATCAAGTGTGGCAGCGGCAGTGAGGTTGGCCCAGGATCAGACATTGTTTCGTTCTGCTGTGCATGGGGTTGCTATGAATCTGTTCTGACTAGATGGCACCTGACAACAACAAGTCGGAACCGACTCCACAGCACATAACCACCACCACCACCATGGGGAGATATATAAATAGATACACAGGCTGAATGGATGTGGGAGGGAGAAGGGGAGGATATCCAGGAATATACAGAAGTTTTGACACAGGATTTTGTACATAAGGATTTACCTTTGCTGCAAGAATATTCTTGAATGTGGTGGAGCATACAGGGAACAAATTATGAAAACTTCTTAGACATTACCAAACACTTTAGGGGAATGATTTGCTGGGCCTGGGGGCTCAGGACCATGGTCTCAGGGTACACCATGGTCAAATGGTATAATGTAGTCCACTAAAACAGTGTTCTACATCTTACTTTGGTGAATAGTGACTGGAATCTCAAAAGCTCATAAGCAGCCATCTATTGGTTGATCCTTGTCCACAGGAAAGAAGAGTGGTGAAAACTGAAGGTACTTGGAAACAATTAGCCCAGTAGACTTATGGACCATGTGAACATTGCTCTCCACAACCCTGAGACTAAAAGAACTAGATGGTGACCAGCTACTATTACCAACTGCTCTGAAAGGGATCACATTAGACAATCTTGAATAGAATGGGAGAAAATGTGAAACAAAATTCAAAATCATAAAGATCAGGCATACTGGTCAGATAGAGGCTGGTGAAACTCCAAGACCACAGCCCTTGGTCACCTTTCAGGTCTGGAACTGAACTTGTCCTGTAGCTCAATTTTCAGCCAAGCAACACATAGGTATACAGCAGGAATGACAACCCTAATGAGGACGTACTTCATAGTATGGTCAACCAGTCAAGACAAAAGAGCAACATTTACCTAAGGCCAAGATTCAGAAGGATTAGGGAAGAAGGAGGAATGAGAACAAACACAGGAAGGAAATGGGATAAATGATGTTATATCAAGGGAACTGTAATCAAGACAAAATGAAGTGTCTAGTTTGTTGAATGTAAAACTGATCATCTGCTCTGTAAACTTTCACTCAATTCACAAGAAAAAGTTAAAATAAAATACATCCTTCAGTATGGATAACAACTCAATGTAAATAAAACAAAAACCCTCACAATTGGACCAATAAACATCATGATAAATAGAGAAAACATTGGTACTTGGATCTACAATCAATGTTCTTAGGAACATCAGTCAAGAAATTAAATGACATATTGCATTGGGCAAATCTGCTGCAAAAGACCTCTTTAAAGTGTTAAAGAACAAAGATGTCACTTTGAGAAGTAACATCTTGCCTGACCCAAGACGTTGTTTTCAGTTGCTGAGCTCTGGTAGCATAGGGGTTACGAATCGGGCTGTGAACCTTACGGTCAGCAGTTTGAAACTACCAGCCACTCCACAGGAGAAAGATGAGGCTTTCTGCTCCCGTAAAGATTTACAGCCTCGGAAACCCTGTACAGGGTCGCTAAGGGTCAGAGCCGACTCCATGGCACTTAACAACAACAACAACATGTGAATGTTAGACAATGTGAAAGTTGAACAGTGAATAAGGAAGACTGGAGAATTGATGCATTTGAATTATGGTGATGGAAAAGAACTTTGAAAGTACCTTGAATTCCTAGAAGAACAAACAAATGTGTCTTGGAAGAAGTACAGCAAGGATGGTGAGACTTCATCTTAGGTACTTTAAGCATGTAACCAGAAGGACCAGTTCCTGGAAAAAGACATCATGTTTGGTAAAAATGGAGGGTCAGTAAAAAAGGGGAAGCTCTTCAACAAAATTGACACAGGGGCTACAAAAACGGGCTTAAACATAACAATTGTGAGGCTGGCATAGGAGGCTGGCATAGGACCTCCATTCTGTACTGTGTGGGGTCACTATGAGTTGGAACCAAATTATAACAATAATAGCAATCTTTATGGAAACAGATTGTCACATATTTCTCCCATGAGCTCAGCTGGTGGATTAGAACTGCTGACTTTTAGGTTAGCAGCTGAGCACTTTAACTACTGTTTAGACCCTGTTTAGAATTTCTGAGGAGTGGCTAATGAGTTTCCGAGCAGTGGCTAGTGGGTTTGAACCATGGACCTTGTGGTAAGCAGTCCAGTGCTTATCCTACAGTGCTCCACCGGGACTCCTTCATAAAGATTGTTGTTGTTAAGTGCCATGAAGTCAGTTCTGACTCATAGAAACCCTATATAAGGTTTTCAAAGAGCAGCTGGTGGGTTTAAACCATTGACCTTGTGGTTCAAAGTCCAGTACTGATCTGATCCTACAGCACCACATCAGGAAGATTCCAGCCTTGGAAACCCTATAAGGCAGTTCCTCTGTCCTGTAGGATCATTATGAGTTAGATCTGACTTGAAGGCAGGGTTTTTTGTTATGTTGTTTTTTAGGTTAATAGCCACTAACCTTTCAATGTGACTTTAATTTGATTAGTAAATAGCCATGAGGAACCAGAAAGCATGAGGGAGTTTGTAACTGTGACATTAAAACATCAATTGGATAACCCTACCTGTGTGACTTTTAGGGGAAGCTGTTGCTGAGAAAGGCTCTGAAATAACCTTCATAAAAAAGGCGACCTGTGCTAATGCTGACCTGGAAAAAGGAAGACAATATTTAATTATGGGTAAAGAAGCTCTCCAGATAAAATACCACTTCAGTTTCAAGTAAGTCATCAACAGATTTGAATCTCTGGTTCGTTACAGGAGTGCCAACCGCATCTGTGCCCTTCAAGAGAGGGGTCTTGCCTTCTACTCAGTAAGAATAGTCAGGTGAGGTAGAGTTCCCATTGAGAGCTGAAGTTTAACATAGAAAAGAGGCTTGCTAGCAGAGATGTGGAGGGTTTAACATAACACTTAACACCTCCCCACCCCACCCCCACCCCATCTCCCCAAACAAAGGCTTTGCTGGGGTTTAAAAGGTTTGGGGTAGGGAAAAGACAGCATGTTTATTGGCAGGATTGTGGGGGAAATGGCCCATGGATTCATGCACTAGACTACAAAATTGGTTTGAAACGCAAGGTTGGTGGGTCAAGCTCACCAACTGCTCCTTGGAAACCCTACAAAGGGTCGCTATGGGTTGAAACCAACTCGATGGCACTCAACAACAACAAAAGCTAATTGGGTACCTGCACAGCGAATCTTCAAGATGGATTCCACTGCAAAGGTCTCTGATAGGAGCAGACAGAATTTATTCTGGAATGTCAGGCATGTGTGGTTCTTCTTATTCTGCCCCTCCCAGGGGCTTGCATTCTCCTCTGCCCCAGTTTACCTACAGCACTAGGTAAACCAGTCCGACCTGTACCATATCTCACAGGGAAGTAAAAGTATAGGAGTTTTATAGATGGTCTTAATGGCATGTCGCAAGATGCAGTTGCCCAACTATGACCCTGGACATGTCCTGCACGTTTTTACAATTGCCCAATGTAGGCCTCAACATTCCTCAAGATTTCAGTTAAAAAGTGGTTCATGTTTAATAATACCGATTTCTTGACCCTTTTTCCCCTTCTCTCATGGTTTTCCCTCCCAAACCTACCATGTGGTTGTTCTTAAGTGCCATCAAATTGGTTCCGACTCACAGTGATGTCAACAAACTGAAATGAGGGCTTGCCACCTGTCACTGTAGTCACTCACAGAGACGAGGAGAGCTCCAATCCAAGCTTTATTAACAGAAAGCCAGCAGTCTGCTGGACGCAAGAATCATTTCTCAAGACCGTCCTGTCCATTATGAAGAGCAGGCACATTATTACATTTGGATGTGCACTTAATCTATCTAAACATCAAGATAGCATTCACTGGGAAAAGGAAACAATAAATCAATAAATGTCCTCAAACATTTTACCTTTAGGGTCTCAGCTGCTTAATTCCTGAGATAACTATCTGGGTGGGTTTAAGCACATCCTATTCTCCTTGTCCTGGTCTCCTTCTAGGACCATAAGGTCATCTTAGCTAATTTATAAACTTCCTCATTTGCAGGGTTCTCATTTGAGACTTAATGACTAAACCGACTCCATTTTGTTTAGGTCAGTGGTTATTGAGTGCCGTCAAGTCGATTCCGACCCATAGAGACCCTGTTTAGGGTTTTTAAGGAGTGACTGGTGAGCTTGACGCACTCACCTTACAATTCAAACGTCTTTGCAGTCCAGCGCATTAACCCACAGCGCCACACCAGGACTCCATAGATCTATGCTATCAGTGACCCTATAGAGGGTTTCCAAGGAGTGGCTGGTGAATTTGAACCACTGACCTTGTGGTTCAGACCAATCTTGCAGTCCAGTGCTTTATCACACGGCGCCACACCAGGACTCCAAATTTACCATTGTTGTTAGTGCCACTGAGCTGGTTCTGTCTCATAGCAACCTTGTAGAGGGTTTCCAAGGAGCATCTGGTGAGCTTGAACAGCCAACCTTGTAGTTCAAACCAACCTTGCAGTCCAGCACATTAACCCATAGCACCACATCAGGACTCCCATATTTACTCCAAAATACTCTATATGTGTCCTATGTACCCTGCTTGTTACAACAACAAAAAATCATTATAAGTCTAAGAGAAATAATGAATTTAAAACATAAACTAATTTAAAACTATAAGCATCAAAATCATAGAGAAGCCTAGGGTTCAGCTGATAGATAAACCTGCCGAGAAAGTGAATCTGATGATGAATCCAAACTTGCTCATCTGAACTCCCTCTAACCAACATTCCTGTTCCCTCAGTGTGTTCTCAGAGAGCTTGTAAAAAATCAGCATTTTAGTTAAAAAAACAGACATGATAATGGACAGGACATCATTCCTGCCTTTAACAATAAGAGCCCTCAACAACTTCACTGTCCCTCAGCAGTTTGTGAACTTTCCCTGAGAGATGCTGATCCACAGGAGTTTGTCTGGCCACCTGGACCATGGGTACCTGAACAGGACTGGGCTCTTATGAAGGAAATCAAATATTGCTTTTCTCTATTTGTGACCATAATCACAAATGCTTTGCTTTTATTTTTTTCTTGGTAGGTACATCTACCCTTTAGATTCTTTGACCTGGATTGAATATTGGCCTACAGATGCAATATGCCCATCATGTCCAGCCCATTTAACTAATTTACAAGATTTTGCCGACGACATCTTTTTAAATGGCTGTGAACATGCCTGAAGAAGTTCAGCTGCACGGTTTCCAATTATGGACTCCTGTTGTTGAAGTGAATGTTGTTTTTATGTGTTGGGTATTTGGGGGTTTTGTATGTGTGTGTGTGTGTGTTTAACATTCACAGCTAGCCTAATTTGGAAAACTCACTTTACTTAGAATTAGTGGCATTTGCTTTTATTAAGACAACAATTTTAAGAGCTGTAACTTTCTGAAATAACATGGCCTTGGGGGATATGCAGACAGATACTCCAGGGTTATTGGACACCAGAAGCAATGAATTGGAACCTTTCCTAAAACCAACCACCCAGGAATGCTTGCTGGGGCCAAAACAACAGACCCATTGAAATGTAGTATCTTACAAAAACATGGCCTTTCCTTGGAAGAAAATACCAAGAAACAGAAAACCGATCATTAAAGCTTGACTTTGCTTTCAGAATGTGTTTAAAAGCATGTTATTTTTGCTAGGTTAGCTTCAACAACACAAAGTCAGGCAAATTGAAGGGGGGGAGGGGGGCGAGGCTACAGTAGAGAACCCTAACCCTGAGAAAGTCTAACCTCAGAGTCCTCAATCAAGTGAAAAGGTAGGAGTATGTCCTTCCTCCTTCCCTCTCCCCTCCTCTTGCAGCCCTCTGGGTGATGAGAGATCCCTCTATTCCTTTTCTCTCCTCCCAACTTACATCATTTCCCCAGGAACTTGCCCTTTCCGGTAATTGCTACATTGGAAAGCAGGGTCCATTTAGCAACCTGATGAAAAAAACTAAGTGGGACTATTGTTAAGTGCTTTCCAGTTGGTTCAGACTCATAGTGACCCTGTACAAGGTGTCTGAGAAGCAGGTGATGAGTTTGAACTACCAACCTTGCAGTTAGCAGTCCAGTGCTTATCCTACAGCACATCAGGCTTCTTTTTTCCCAACCCAGTAAGGGACAAAAAGAGCCCTGTTGTTGCTGTGGGTTAAGAAACATCAAACAACCTGCATCCTTAAAGATTTCGTCTCAGAAACCATATGTAGATAGACTTGGGTCACTGTGAATTGAAATCAAATTGATGGCAGTGGGTTGGGTTGGGTTTAGTAAGGAGCAGAGTCAGAGACCAAACCTCAAGGCTCTCTCTCAATCAAACCCCACCCATTTCCACATCCCTGCACTATTACACTGTTTCCCAGGTTGAGTCTAAGACTGAAGCAGGAAGTAGAAGTATTTGGAATTTCTCAGACATGGTTCAACCAGCCCCACTGAAATCTCACAAAGAGACATGATGATAAACTCTGGATGGAATGGTTGTTGTTTGTTGTTGTTATGTGCCGTGGAGTTGGTTCTGACTCATAGCGACCCTGTTACAGGGTTTCTGAGGCTGTAAATCTTTACGGGAGTAGAAAGCCTCATCTTTCTCCCGTGGAACAGCTGGTAGTTTCGAACTGCTAACCTTGCAGTTCACAGCCCGATTCGTAACCACTACGCTACCAGAGCTCCTGGAATGGAATGGTAGCAGTGACTAAAATGCAATCCCTTTTTTAAAAAAAATCTGGGGACAAAAATAACAACCTGCATTTTTGCCAGTTAGGTGGAACCACACATGGCCTTTCAGCAGCATGTGTCGTCTTAAGAAACACTAAGATTTTCCCCTTGCAGGAACTAAGGATTTTTTTTTTTTTTTTAATGTCAAAGCTCACATTGTAGACACTTTGGCAAAAACTACATGTCTGAACTGTCTGCCAGCAAGAGGTGCGGGGCCTCCCCCTAAGCAGGCCTGACACTGCCTCCTGTCACTGCTTATTGTATACAGGGTGGAGAGAGGAACCAGGGTCTCTCAGATATTCTGTTGCATCTCCCTGAGCCCTGTGGCAAACAGTGGCTAATTCCAGGTTGGTAGCAGTGCCCTAATTAACCAACAATGCAGCTAAACTTCCAAACATCAAAGTAGGCTTTTGTGAGTTCTCCTGGCACTATTAAAAATCAGCCAACTCTTCCTCAGCTAACCCTCAGATACTAAATCATCACTTCCTTAGTGAGGCCTTGACTGCTCACTCCACCCCAAGCCCTGTTCCAACTGATCCCTATCATCCTACACTTTTATTCCAAGGCTCTTATGCACTTGCCATTAGTTCTATGTTGCTTTTGTTAAGTACCATCGAGTCAGTTCCAACTCATACTGACCCTGTATTGGGTTTCCAAGGAGTGACTGGTGGAATTGAACCACTGATCTTGTGGTTAGCAGTCCAGAGCTTATCCTATGATGCCACACCAGGACCCCACCTCCCCAATCATTTATAATTATTTGTTTAGTGTGCAGCTTCCAGATTATACAGTAAGCTCTGTGTGGACAAGGTCTGGGCCTGTTCTATTCACCACAATCTTCTCTCCTCCCAATGGCTGGCACATTATATGGACTCAATAAATGTTTGTGACTAATATAAGGTGTGTGAGGAATCTGAAGACCAGAATTCTAATCTTGGCTTGGCCTCTAATTGGCAATGATTTGGGACAAGTGCCTTCATCTTTTCTGTAAACCAAAGGAATTCAACGCATTAATGTCTCTCTAATCTATAGCTCTAAGAGTCTATGTTATGGTCATAAGATGTAAAACAGAACATAAAACCAAATGACATGTGAGCATCCAAATGTTGGGTGATGTATTTCTGTCTGTAAGCGTTAAGGCAGAGAAGAGAGGATCTGTGTGAATTGGAGAAGTTGCCATCGACTTCCTGGAGAATGTCTGGGGAGATTTGGGCAGGGAGGGAGGGGCAGGAGGGTCTTTCTGTTAAGGAGAAAAGCATAAGGTAATTTACTGGGGATAAACAAGATGATTTTATGTGCTACAGTAAACATCATTTATTTTAATATTCCATTTTTACTCCTGGTATGGCACTGTGGGTTAATGCACTGGACTGCAAAGTCGGTTTGAACCTGAAGGTCAATGGTTCAAGCTCACTAGCTGCTCCTAAGAAATCCTATACAGAGTTACTATGGGTCAGAACTGACTCGACAGCACTTAACAACAACATTATTGTTGTTGTTAAAACAGGGTTTCCGAGGCTGGAAATCTTTATGGGAGCAGATCGCCTCATCTTTCTCCCGCGGAGCAGCTGGTAGTTTCGAACTGCTGACCTTGCGGATCTCAGCCCGATTCGTAACTCTGGTAGTGTAGTGGTTACGAATCGGGCTGCGAACCTTAAGGTCAGCGGTTCGAAACTACCAGCCGCTCCGCGGGAGAATGATGAGGCTTTCTACTCCCGTAAGGATTTACACCCTCGGAAACCCTGTACAGGGTCGCTATGGGTCGGAACCGACTCGACGGCACTTAACAACAACAATAATATAGATAATATTATATGTGTGTGTGTGTGTGGTGCTGTGAGCTAATGTGCTGGACTGCAAGGTCAGTTTGAACCACAGGGTCAGTGGTTCAAGCTCACCAGCCATTCCTCAGAAACCCAATTCAGGGTTGCTATGAGTCAGAACCAATTTAACAGCACTTAACAACAACAACATATAACTAATACATGAAGGCTATGATACAAGTTTTCTGTTAAAATTTAAATCAATTCATTCAAGTTCAAAGGTAAGTCTATTTAAAGAAAACCTCTCAGTAAATAAAAGTATATGTTCTCCTTAGGGCACAAATCCTGTAAATTACTGAAGTTTAGAAAACTCTGATTTAAGGGAAAATGTGGAGTCCATTAGTGTGTCAGTTCAAAGTAAGGAGGCTTGTCTACTTCTTATTTCTCAGTGAGTGACCTTGAGCCAAACTCCTGTTCAGTTTTACCTTCCAATCCCCACCATCACTCACCTATTCAGCAACATTTAACCAATACATATTAATGGATAACTGTAGGGCAGGCACAATTCTAGGTGCTGAAGGAAACATAGGATTTACAATAAAATTAGGTAGGTATATTAATTGGTGTTGAATGTTAGAAGGTGATGAGAGCTATGGAAAAAAGAAAGCATAGAGCAGGATAACGGAGATTGGGAGGGGTGAGGGGAAGAGTTGGTATTTTAAAATAATCTGGTTGATGTGGTTCTCATCGAGAGGGTAAGATTGGAACAATGCTGTGAAGGATGTGGAAGGGTTAGCCATGTAGCTTATGTGGAGTGAAAGGAACACCTAGTGCGTAAGTCCTAAAGCAGGAGCATAATGATGTGTTAATAGGAAGAACAAGGAGGTCAGTGTCTAATCAGGTCAGGGAAAGGACTTCGGCTTTACTCCGAGGGAAATGGAGCTGTTGTAGGGTTTTTAACAAACAAGTGGCATGGTCTGTCTTTCCTTTTAAATGGTTACTGTTGTGCTGAGAATAAGGGAAGGGTAAAAGTAGAGACACCAGTTAGGTGACTACTGTGGTAGACCAGGAAGATATGATGGAGTTGCAGAATGGGGTGTAACAGTGGAAGTACTGAAAAGTGTTAGTATTCTGTGTATATTTTAAAAGTAGATTCAATTGGATTCCCTGATAGATTGGAAATAAGCATGAGAGAAAGAGACGAGTCAAGAAGGACACCAACTGAGCAACTGAAAGAATGGAATTACCATTGACTAAGAACATACTGAGGGAAAGTTCAGAGTTAGGAATCAGTAGTTCAGTTTGGGACATGGTGAATTTTAGAAGAGCTCTATTAGCCATTTGACTGGAAGAATCATGAAGGCAATTGGTTTACAGTTTCTGAGAAAAGAAAGAAGGATGCGGATATGAAAGGGAGTGAAATCTAAGACAGATGAGAACTCCATATTGAAAAAAAACTCTGATTTTTCTCAACTGTCAGGGTTCTCACTCTGACAGACATATTGGCAGAAACAAATCTGTCCCTTGGAACACAATGTCCACTCCTTTACCATATCCATCATTATAATTAGATATGTGTATGTTACATACATGATCAGAAATTATACAATCCAAAAATGTCCAAACCAGAAAGGACCTAGAGCTCACCTCATCCAAATTCTTCATTTGCACCTGAGAAAACTGAAGCCCAAGAAATATTTGCCAGTAGTTAGTATTGTTAAGTGGAAC